ATTTATTTGCAAACTTTTATAACAGAAACAAAGAAAAAGTGTTTTTTTTTTTTCAAAATGTTGTCTTTTTTTGTTAATTTAGCAAAAAGTAAAAACCCTAGCGGTGATTAAATACCACCAAAAGAAAGCTCTAGTTGTGTGAAGAAAATGATAAAATTTTAGTTTGGGTACAATGTTGTATGACTGCGCAATTGTCATTCAAAGTGTGAGAGCGCTGAAACCTGAAACTTGGCCTGGGCAGGAAGGGGGTAAACGTGTCCTGTATGGAAGCGGTTAAATAAACCCTCATGGCTTATACTAGGAATGCAGGGACCTTTCTCTTGCCGTGCAAGGATTCGAGAAAAAAAAGAAGGTAGGGCAATGTCCCAATTTAGAAACCACCTTAGGCAAAAAGGATGGATGAGGCCGCAAGACCACACTATCATGATGTGGAATAAAAAACGGTTCCTTACAGGCAAGAGCCACCAGCTCCAACACCCTCCTGGCCAAAGTGATTACAATGAATAAGACCACTTTTCTTGTTAAAAGGACTAGTGAAGTGTTGCCATTAGATTCAAAGGGCAGTTTTCACAGGACTCCCAAAATTAAATTCACGTCCCAAGGACACAAGGGTGGTCTTACAGGGCGGGACCATATGTAGTACCCTCTGAAAAAATGTCTGAATCAAAGAATCTGATGCAATCAGTCTTTGAAAAAATACAGCCAAGGCTGAAATCTGACCTTTGATAGTTCCTAAGGCCAAATTCATGTCCACCCCTGACTGGAGAAACTAGAGAATTTTCCCAATCCCATAATCCCTGGGATTCCATTTCCTGGCCTCACACCAGGTAATGTAAGATTTCCACACTCTATAATAGGTGCTTTCCTGGCATTCAAAAGTGTAGAGACTACTCAACCTGAAATTCCCCAGTCCCTGAAGTTCTGGGCTTCAACAGCCATACCGTCAAATTTAGCCAACATAAAGCAGGGTGGAATATTGGTCATCGAGACAGTAGGTCTGGCTGGACCAGAAGAGTCCATTGCCCATCTACTGCCATCCTCACAATGACTGCATACTAAGCTCTCCTGGGCCAAGCTGGAGCAATCAATATCACCTAACTCACTTCCTCTTGAATCCTGCATAAGAGATGAGGAAGCAGCTGAATCAGGGGGAAAAGCATAAATCAGGGAAAATTGGTCTCAAGGGACCACCAGGGCATCTGCTCCGATCGCAAGCTGCTCCCTTGTCCTGGACACAAATTTCCCAACTTGTTGTTGAACCTGGATTCCAACAGATCTACATCCGGGGTACCCCATTGCTGGCAAATTGCAAGTGCAGAGACCACTCCCCTGGAGCCAACTGCTGGCAACTGTGAAAATTCCAGAGTAATGTGTACCGCCCATAGCTCTAAGACATTGATAGGCAGTCTGTTCTCTCTATGAGACCACCTTCCCCGGACAGTGGCTCCTTCCAGAACAGCCCACCAACCCTGAAAACTGGCATCCATAGTCACTATTTTCCAAACTACCCAAAGAAAAGCCTTCCGTTTCTCCAGATCCGGAATCCCTAACCACCACTTCAGACTCCGTAGAACCTCGTGGGTCAGAGACACAATAATCCAATGCCTGTGTTACAGAAGCAACCATACCAGCAATCTTACTTTCTAAACCAGCCAACGCTGATGTTAAATAGTCTTTAGTAACGTATGCTGAGGTGGATACGCCAGACATTGCCACAATGCCAGACAAATGTAGCAGCTCAGACTGGTTTTACCTTCTGATCTCAGAGGAACCACTTGCTCCCCTTCCTGCTGCGTTTCCCCCACTCCACTTTCTGGAAGACATCACCTGTTAGAAACAGACAGACCCAACTGCTTGTAAAAAATCACAATTGCTCTCCTAGCAGGGTACCACCCGGCTAGACTGTGATTCAGCAATAGCAGCTATCACAGCCTAATTGCCAAAAGTGTACTAGACAAGCCCTCAGTCCACCTGGCCACCAGTATCATGCACTTACAGTACATGTCCCAGCAATAGCCTGCTCTGGTTCCCCCTCCTATAGCCAACCAGAATCCACATGTAAACACACATCCTTAAAAAAGATAGCTGCCCACCCACTCCTGCGCAAGCGTGGCTGCGCTCCAGGCATGCCAGTTGTGCGCACAATTTCCTGCATGTGCTCTGTTGCCCAAGCAACCAGCTGGAAACTCTGCATCCCTTCATACTGACAGGAGAGGCCTCATGGGGACAGGAATGCTGCAACCGCCGGCAATGGAGGTGGGGCCACTGATAACTCACGAGTGGAAAGACAAGAGCAAGCGGGACCGCCCTAACAGTGTCTCACACAACAAGCACTCTGTACAGAATACACAATGTCAGCTTCCTGCCCTCTGGTGACCAGAATGTGAACACGCTGAAACCAGCACCCCTCTTACTATACACCCATATATGTATATATTTTTCCTTTAAAGAGAAGAGGGAGCAACTTACCAATCCTCAGTACAGGATTCTTGTTCATAAACCAAGAGTCCAATCTTCACCCATCATGGCGGGCATTGTCATAAAAAACCCTCAAGGACTAGGTCCTCTATCCCTCCCTGGTGCCTCTGCCTTGGTTCTGCATAGCAACCTGCTGGAAAGCACCTTGGTCAGATTACAATTGCACAGGGTTCTGTTACACAGGATCACATTATAGGCAATCCCTGCTTCTTCCATTTCACCAGAGGGCCATTAACAAGAGGAATTAACGCCAGAAAAGTGGCACAGCAACTTTATTGAATTTCCCCCAGTTTATGTGAACAGCCATTTGGGATTCTGACTGACCTTGGATACAAACAGTTTGCATTAAGGGATGATGTTTTTGGGTGCAGCTAATTTTCCAGTTTGTATGCGCCCACAGAAGATACTGCCGCATCCAGAGGCAAAGTTTTGCAGCAGCCTATCTTCCCTGGATCACCCCTTTTAATTAGCTCTAAGCATGCACACTACCTATACCTGGAAACATTGTCAATATCTGCCCCCTTGGCATGCATAATTTACAAAAACTAAACAACACTGTTTTCAAGACTATTCAAAAAATGCTGTCAAACCAACATCAGAAGCAAATCTGTCACGTACTGGAGAGAGGGCTTCCCTTGCGGCTAAGTTCCAGACTACCCTGAGAGTGGGACAGCAGGAGGCAGGCCCAAAGTGGCACAGGTCACCTGGAGGGGTGCTTGTTGGTGGTCCATCCAGGAGCACAGCTGATGCACTGAGATGAGGTCTGCAGACAAGTGGCGCCTGTGAGAGGTATGCAAGCCCTTCTGGGGAACAGAGGATTACTGGATAGCAGGTTCAAAGCCAAGGTCTGGTACTGGGTGGAGATCAGAGCAGACGTAGTCAGATGGGATAGCTGAGGTCATACACAGAGGAGCAAGAGAGAATATCTGTTAGCCAAGCCGAGGTCATACACAGAGGAGCAAGAGAGAATATCCATTAGCCAAACAGAGGTCAGGTCAGGGTTCAAGCAGAGAAGACAGGTCCAGGAGCAAGCCGAGTCGATAACAGGAAATCACAGATCACAGGAGCAGAAAATCACAGGTCACAGTAACACAGGAACAGGAACAAGATACTGGGGAGCCAGAGATCAACCAGCACCTGAGAGTAGTGCAGGGCTTCCTTATAAAGACCATTTGGTGCAAAATTTGAGCCAATGTGAACTTCTGCGGCCATGCAAGGTACTGGCAGGGGTGCCAGGTCTCCTAATACCTCTGCCGAGGATGGAGCCCTGACAAAATCCCAAATTCCTGTGAAAACATTTATATATTGTCCTATTAAGTGACTCACATGGTCACTTTAAAAGTACAGTATCTGCTGAATTTTAAGCTGGTGACTGTATATTAATTCAATGAGGAAGATTTACTAAAACTGTTGCACTCAGAATCTGGTGCAGCTGTGCATGGTTGCCAATCAGCATCTAAAATAAAACCTGGTTTTTATGCAGAGCGTCACCAGATATTGCACCATGCAGTTTTAGTAAATAATCCCCAATGTGTCTTCGCCTATACCAGAGTACAAGTACTGGACAAATGTCTTGATTGGAAGACAAAGACAATTACCACTGGCTTCTTGGTAGCCATGCTTGCAGATGGACAGAGCAAATTTACCTTAAATTTACTGCATCATTTGTGAAATGTCCGAATTTTGGCATAGTTACATAGGTTAAAAAAAGACACAAGTCCATCTAGGTCAACCAATAGAAACTACATACAACACTAAAAAAAGTAGTAAGAGTGTACGAGGGGCCAGATGTTTGGTACCCAAAGTTGGATAAATGCACATGGAGCCAATGATGGCATCACAATGTATTAACTCAAATTTCCAACAAGGTGGAAACAGGGCCTGAGTGTCATGGCCAACCCCAGTACGGACGTATCTTACAGAAGAACTCGTAGTACATATCCTCAATATGATAGGAAATACATTAGTAGGTGACTGGTAGGTGGTGTGATGACAAAGGCACTCGAGAGGCAGAAGAAAGGAGGTTCAAGGTAGCAGCTCAGGTGTAAAGTCCCTACACTGTCCCTTCTGCATTAACAATCCTGCCTATCTGCCCACTTTTATTTTTACCTACAATTCTACTTTAAACACGTATTACAATATGAAGGCTGAACAGGAATAAATCATTCTTCTGTGCAAGGACATCACAACCGCTAAGATATATAACACATGAGGCCTAATCTGAACCGTTAGAAAACCATATTTTGGGAATTGTCACACCTAATTATTTCTCCACATACAAGACACGTGTACTTTCCCAGATGTTATTATTTAACCTGATATCAGCATGTTGACTACATCAAGGCTGCAACAGCCTTGGATGGAAAACTTCAATATATATAAACCCAAGGGTGGGTTGGTTTACTAAACTCAGTGTCTACAACACTCAGCTGTCACTATGAAGCTGCTCTTTTCTGTGCTTCTTCTCCCTCTGTTCCTTGAGGGCCTCATGGCTCAATGCCCTGCAACCTCTGAACTGGTGAATGATGCGGGGGAAAAGCTCTGTGCACGCATGTATGAACACAGCAACATTTACTTTGATCAGTCCTGTGGAGGGGTCTCCCTCGATGTCAAAAATGGAGATGACTTCCCCTACATGCCAACTGGATGGGGGTAACAAGATTTCATCTCTAGTTGTAGGCAACCGCTGCACCCTGAAGATATGGAGCAAGTCTGGTAAAACTGGAAACAACCGTTCCTTCAACGCTGGAGTGGTCTACCAGTTAAAGGACTATACCAATGGACTATTTGGAAACTGGAATGATGCCATCAGCTCTTATTACTGTACCTGCACATAAGTAGACTCTGGTGGTGTAATAACCAATGCCAGAATGAATGTTTCCTATTAAAATTCATCTACTTATTCATGATGTTCTAATCTCTTTCTAGCTTTTGTTTTGCCAGATGTTTGATGGTGCACAGGAGTATACTATTTTTATTAACAACTGGGGGTTTGTATATGCTAGTTTACACTACTGTTTAGTGATATATACAAGAGTTTGAGGAAAGTAGTTCATGATCCTATGAGTGCATACATTTTATTGATTCAGTCAGGCTACGAAAATTACTAATGATCAACCACTAAGGGATTCATTTTTAAACCATTTGCAGAGCAATTTGCCTAGTAGAAGTGCATGTACATTTCTTTTGTGCAAATGGGGGAAAAAAAAAACCCCAAATGTTATTAGGCTATTTACTGGGTTAGAATAATGATTTTTTTAATTCAAAAAGTAAAATACTGTACCCGACCACTAGGTTGCATCAAGTATATTAGGAATTTCCTGGGATGCTTTGCACAATATAGTGGCCAAATGCTGTATTTTTTGGTTTAAAGGAGAAGTAGGACCAAAGCTATTTTGGTCCTCCTTCTCCTGTAGGTCGCAGGAGTGCACCCCCTTCTACACCCCTGTGACTGGTTTTCAGCTGACAGTGGGCTAAAGCCTTCTGTTGGCCGATGTCACTTAGCTGGTCCATGCTCTGGAAAGTTGGGATCCAACTAGATGCCTTGACCGACAGCTGTCTCAGATTCTCAGCACACCACTGAAAGCCTGAGTTAGAAGCTCCCACCACCTCCACAGCCTGGCACTTCAGTGAGCACTGGAGGGGCAGAGCAGAGAGCCAGTGACTGGCTCATATACACATTTTCACATATAACACACACCATATACTGTACATTTCCTTTAACAAATTGCATTCCATGTACTTTGTGAAGTTTAAAGTGTTACTCTTACTGACCACTAGATGGTAGTGAGCTACCACCAAATTGACTTTTTATTGGGTCAGAATTTAAATTGTGTTTACATTCTATGGAGTGAGCTGTAATTGAAAGTAAACTGTAAATTTAAGAGTATTTTCTTAAGTGCCTTTTACACTGACTTAGCAAATGCTTTCTTCTTTTTATTGGTATTAGCATTTCTAGGCTCCTTTGTTGTTTTCCTATCTGCTTGGAAACACTATGTTTAAGTGGTTTATAAACTGTCTTTGCCAGGAGAAAGCATTCCCAGCTCATTGTATTATCCTTTATTTTTAGCCATGTGTTTTGGCTGGCAGATGAAGATTCTGAACACTCGTGAGTTTTCAATGCTTTTTAGGCTGCAAAGAGAAAACTCCAATGTTGTAGCATCAGTAAACAACAGCAGGTAGATGCATCAATGTCAAATATTCAATTTTTTCTGTTGTTGTATTCATACAATTTCAGTTAAAACACCAAAAGAGAAGAAAGCGAACACTTCATTCATATCTGTGCTATTAACTTTTGCAAGCCAGAGACTATATGACAAGTGTAAAACCAGGGAGGGAATATTGGCATCAATGAACACAACACAGAAATGAGAGTTCTTCAAAAAGACTGTATATGAACACACTGCAGAATATATTCCCATGGGCAACAAGTTTAAAAGGCTAAAAATCAAACCTATGTGGCTTATGGCAAAAGTTAAAAAAAGCTATAATAATAATAAATATAAAAATGAAGGAACGGAATCATCATTTAAACATTAAAAAGAATATAACAGAAAATTCAAAAAGGAAATAAAGGCCGCAAGAATTGAAAATGGACAACAGATTGCAAAAGATAGCAGGACCAACCCCCAAAAATTCTTCAAATATATTAATAGTAAAAAGGTCTGGTCTGATCATGTAGGCCCTTTACAAAATAATCTAGAGTGGGTGACTGGGGACAAAGAGAACGCAAATATATTAAATACCTTCTTCAGCTCTGTGTATACAAAGGAGTTCTTGTCTATAATGGGCATGGTATTGACACAGCTCCAGAGGATCCACATTGGCTCACAACAGATATGATCCAGAAATATTTAGACAGTATAAAGGTGAATAAAGCACCTGGACCAGATGGCATACACCCATGGGTCCTTAAAGAATTGAGCTCTGTCATTTCAAAGCCATTGTTTCTAATTTTTAGGGACTCTTTAATGACTGGCATAGTATCACTGGATTGGCATAAGGCCAATGTGGGGCCAATATTTAAAAAGGGGTCAAAATCTTTACCAAGTAATTACAGATCTGTTATTTTAACTTCTATAGTTGGGAAAATACTGGAGAGTTTAATAAAAGACCACATAGATGAGTTCTTGCTGGAAAAAAATATTTTAACCAGTTGCCGAATGACGGCTACACTGTGGCCGGTCAGTTCTGGGAGGGCGTCATATGATGTCCTCCCAGAATGTGCTCTTCTGCACACCCCCTGGAGATCTCCATGATCGCTGTGTCCTACGGACACAGCTGATCATGGGATGTGGTGAAAGGCCAATCACAGCGGGCTTTTACCACGTGATCAGCTGTGTCCAATGACATGCTGATCACAGGGAAATGAAAATGCCGGTTCTCGGCTGCACTTTCCTCACGCTGTCAGATCGTGAGGAAAGTGCTGCCAAGAACTGGCAGTTGTCAGAGCAGGGATCGGCACCGATCATCAGGGCACTGATGATCAGTGCCCTGATGATCGGTGCCCAGCAGTGCCACCCACCAGTTCCACCCACTTGTGCCCAGCAGTGCACCCATGTGTGCCCAGCAGTGCATTCACCTGTGCCCAGCAGTACCACACACCTGTACCTAGCAGTGCCCACCAGTGCCACCCAGAAGTGCCACATACCTATGCCCAGCAGTGCCACCCACCTCTGCCCACCCACCTGTGCCCACCAGTGCCACCCACCTGTGCCCATCAGTGCAGCCCAGCAGTGCTGCCAGTCAGTGCCCAGTGGTTGTGTCAGTCAGTGCCCAGCAGTTGCGCCAGCCAATGCCTAACAGTGCCGCCAGTCAGTGCCCAGCAGTGATGCCAGTCAGTGCCACCTATCAGTGCTGTCTATCAGTACCCATGATCAGTGCCACCTATCAGTGCCGGCTATCCGTGCCACCTCATTAGTGCTGCCTATGAGTGCTGCCTCTCAGTGCCCATCAGTGCTGCCTATCAGTGCTGCCTCATCACCGCACATCAGTGAAGGAGAAAAATTACCTGTTTGCAAAATTTTATAATAGAAACAAAGAAACTTTTTTTTTTCAAATTGTTTGCACTTTTTTTGTTTATAGCGCAAAAAGTAAAACACCCAGCGGCGATTAAATACCACCAAAAGAAAGCTCTATTTGTGAGAATAAATGATATAAATTTCATATGGGTACAATCTTGCATAACCGCGCAATTGTCAATCAAAGTGCGACAGCGCTGAAAACTGGCCTGGTAAAGAAGGGGGTATAAGTTTTTAAGCAACAGACAGCATGGATTCATGAAAGACAGAAGTTGTCAAACAAATCTGATTTTTTTTTATGAGGAGGTGGGCAAAACCTTGGACAGAGTGGTGGCTGTGTACGTGGTATACTTGGATTTTGCAAAAGCGTTTGACACATTTCCCCACACACGGCTAATGTGTAAGGTAAAGTCTATGGGCTTGGAAAAATCTGTATGTAAATGGATAGAAAACTGGCTAAAAGATCGTATTCAAAGAGTAGTGGTTAATGATTTATACTCTGAATAGTCTAGGGTTGTCAGTGGTGTACTCCAAAGTTCAGTGTTGGGACCCTTACTTTTTAATATATTTATAAACAATATAGGGTCTGGGATTAAAAATACAATTTCATAATAAATATACTAATACAGTCTTTGCAGATGACACCAAGCTGTACAGTGGAATAACGTCCTTAGAGGATATCTTCAACTCACAAGCCGACCTCAATGCACTGTTTAATGTTGATAAATGTAAGGTTCTGCACTTGAGGGCTAAGAATATGCATGCATCATACATACTGGGGGGGGGGGGGGGGGGGGTACAACTGGGAGAATCAATGGTGGAGAAGGATCTGGGAGTTCTGGTAGATCACAAGCTTAATAATGGCAAGCTGCGGTTTCTAAAGTGAGCAAAATCCTCTCTTGTATTAAAAGAGGTATAGACTCCAGAGAGAGAGATATCATTTTACCCCTGTACAAATCATTAGTAAGACCTCATCTGGAATATGCAGTTCAGTTTTGGGCACCAATTCACAAAAAAGAGCATTGGGGAACTGGTGAAAGTACAGAGAAGGGCAACCAAACTGATAGTAGGCATGGAGGAGATCAGCAAAGATTAGAGGAACTGAATTTATTCTCTCTTGAGAAGAGGAGATGAAGAGGGATATGATGAACATGTATAAATACATCAGTGGTTCATATAGTGAACTCGGTGTAGAGTTATTCAAACTGAGGTAATCACAGAGGACAAAGGGGCACTCTTTACGTCTGGAGGAAAAGAAATGTAATCTCCAAACACAGAAAGGCTTCTTCACAGTGAGAGTTGTGAAACTGTGGAATAGATGAAATTAATAGTACTCGTGAGCCAAAATGTGATACTCTCCTTGTGCAATAAATTAATTAACAAACTATTTCATCAAATTATGGTGCATCAACACTTTACACAATACTCATTATCTGTGTGAAACATAAAGTATATAAAAAAATGTATATATATTCAAATACATATCAGAAGTTGATTAGCATATATAGACCCCAGGAAAATGGCCGCGCACATGCGGTCTACAAGAAAATGGCGCCGACTGCCTATATAAATAGAGCAGAGTGTAGTGACGTCCAATTGTTTTCCCCCTGATGAAGCCACGTGACCCTGTGGCGTAACGCGTAGGGGAGGGGCTCTGACGTCACGACGCCGCGGTGGACGAGCGGCATTTACAAGCACAGGATCTGGGCACAGCTCTGTTGGACACTGTATAATGAAATACCACTCAAACCATCCCTAACTATCCATTGAGGCTCAGTGTGGAAGGAGGAATAAGGGAGACCTCTGGTGGCAGGAGAATGGCAATATAAATCCACGGTGAAAGTAGGTAGGTGGTCTTTTTCCTGTTCCTTGGGGGCCCCTCCCTCAAGATACCAACGGTCACACCTGGACACAGCTACGAGATCTCGGAAAGTGAATGCACTCAAATCACCTCAGTTGCGATTGCAAACACTTCAGTTTTATTGGCATAACATCAGGGTTATTATACTGTAGTCTTTAGGCAAACACACCCTCAGACCTTCCAATCAAATACATGTACATTGTTTTACCTTAACTCAACAATTATTTGTATGAGGTTTGCATTTTCACTCTTCTGCTTTATCTATCATACCATATCTGCGCTAAAGCCCAGACCATGGCTTTAATCTGACCCAACGCCCAGACCATGGCTCTAATCTGACCTAACACCCAAGTTGTGGTTAAAACTTTTCAGAAGTGAGAGTAAACCTTATCTGCTTTTTTGTACGGTTTGCAAAAACACTCATTTCTACATGAAGCTGACATAGACAGTTTTGTTAGTGTGCACATATCTCATATATGTATGTTAAACTAGCATCTTGTATTAGTGTATACAAAATGGATTCAGTTATATTCCATTTAATACTTTCACACGGCATGGATGGAAATATATATATAGCATGAAGATTACCACCCAGTCCTGATAGGACAAAAGTGTTGTTAGCCACTTTGTTTGGCTAATTAAGGAGGTGAGCGCACACCTATCTATAGAGCACGGGGAGTGTGGCACAACACTGTATTTGTCACTGAAAAGGATTAAAGCACAAAGAGGACTATTTATGAATTTATTTTTGAGTGTTTAAGTAGTAATATATTTGAAAAGCACACGAAACACTGCACTGATTTGAAGCACAAAAGTTTTTCACATCACTATTTTATATGATCACTTGTATATGATTTTATGTTTATATTATGGAGCGTGGCACCTGTATATGTATTTGAATATATATACATTTTTTTATATAGAAAATGTGGAATAGACTCCCTCAAGAGTTGGTTCTGGCCAGCTCAGTGAATTGCTTTAAAAGAGGCCTGGATTCTTTCTTAGATACACAGAATATAACTGGATACTAACATTTATAGGTAAAGTTGATCCAGGGAATATCCGATTGCCTCTCAGGGGATCAGGAAGGAATTTTTTCCCCTGCAGGAGCAAATTGGATCATGCTTTGCTGGGTTTTTTTGCCTTCTTCTGGATCAACTGTGGGGATAGGGTTATCACTTTTTTTTTTTTTTAATGGGTGAACTGGATGGACTTTTGAGTTTTTCATAGTTTTTTCATAGTTAGCCTGGCTGAAAAAAGACAAATCAGTTAAAGTGTATCCAAATCCAAGAGCAAGAATTTTATATATTGCAGTTTACCAATCCTTTGATGCGGTGGCTTCATTAGTGTTCTTTTTTGTGGAGTTTTCTCCTTTGTTTTCACATAGTGATTCTGCTAGTAACATGCTTCTTGTTTTAGGTTGACAATGCTTAGTCCATATATTGTATTTATGGAGGAGTAGTATTATCTTCATAAGTGGCTTTCCTGATTTGGACCACAAATGTCCCCTATCTCTATTACATAGGAGGAGGTATTCTGTAATCCACCGAAAAAAGCTTGGAAAGCTGATAACATTGCATGTATATGGGAAGTTTCTGAGACAAAAGATTTCATTTAAAAATCAACAGGTATTTTTCTGTACTTGCAGAAAATGTTCTTAGTCTAAAAAAAAAAAAAAATTAAAAAAAAGAAGGACACCACATATAAGGTCTGGTAAGCTGCTATATTACTATTTTTGCTCTTGGGATTAGATATACTTTAACTTTTATAAGTCTGCCAATCAGTGTAAGACCTCTCCCTTTTTTAGTCCATATATCGTATCTATGGAGGGATAGCATTATCATCATAGATTGCTCTCTGGATTTGGACGACAACTGTTCCCCATCTCTATTACATAGGAGGAGGTGTTCTATAATTCACCGCAGATAGCTGGGAAAGCTGATAACATTGCATGTATATAGGACATTTCAGAGACACAAGATTTCTTTAAGGATCAACAGGCATTTTTCCGTGCTTGCAGAAAATGTTCTAGATATACTTTATTTAATGTTCTAGAATCTACTCTAGAATCTAGATATACTTTAACATTTTATAGACCTGCCAATCAGTGCAAGACCTCTCCCTTTTTTTCTAATGGAAGTTATCAAACTGAGACACACATGGAGAACAAGTATAAAAAAAACTTTAGGCCCCCTACGCATTGATAATGTGTGCTAAAACGTGTTTAACCTTAAAAGGTAAGTCAAAACAATTTTTTTTCTAGTTCAGGATACAGTGGGGAAGGATTAGAACTCCAGTCAGGTTTTTACTGCTATCCAGGGATCTGTTAGCAAGATTTTCCCTCACTTCCTGCCCTGTGACTAGGGATGAGCTCAGGTTTGGTCAGATTTGGTTGGACATAATATGTGACCATATTGTTGACCCATAATGTGGCCCTATTAGTTCAATGATGTCATGAGCATTTCTGTCCCATTGTGTGTATGCAACTATGGGGTTGCGAATGTCCTAATGGATATTGAACAAGAGCATATTTGGGAAAAAAATACACTTTAATTAATTTTAATGCAAAAAACACAATATATAACCCAATTTTTTTGTAAAATATAAAATACGTGTAAAATTACATGTCACACTTTAAAATTGTGCACGCTTGTGGAATGGTGCAAAAAAGTACTTAAAAAATCTCCAAATGTAACACTTTAAAATTTTTACAGGTTACTAGTGTAAAGTTACAGATGAGGCCTAGCACTAGAAATATTGCTCCCACTATAATGTTTGCGGCAATACTTCACATCTGTGGTGCGAACACTGTTTACATATTCTGATGAAATCTACATATGCGTTCACCAGTGCGCCCAAGCACAGGGGGACATGGGCGCTGTAAACATTTTTTATTATTATTTATTTTATTATTTTTTGAATTTTACACTGTTTCTTATTT